AAATTTACTAGATTTGATCAAGTTTTTGTTGAGTTATATTTGTTTAAAATTTAAAAAAATTTCATTAAAAAAGATTTAGTGCATTTCTATTGACTCACCTCCATCTCTTGTCAAATCTAAGGCTGATAACTTTGCAAAATCTGAAGAAGTGAAATCACTTCAGTCTGTAATTAATTTATTAGCCCCAAGATACTCTGACAATAATCAATCAGATTCACTTGTAGCTGGTAGTGAAAAAATTGATGAGCCAGAGAGGGTTAATACTTTTAATACAATTATTCCTAACACATTTCTAGAAGGACTAGATAGTTCTATACAAGAATTGAAAAATAATAGCATGAATTTGAAGACTGTTTTCTCAGAACCAATCTTACTTGCTACTTCGACAAACAAGATTTTATTAGGTGGTGCAGAAAGGATGGGGACCTGGCCAAGCCATCAGGTATCTCTATTATTGCAGATAAATTATTCTCATCAATACTTATCTATTCAATAATACTTTTTTTATTAGTTATAATTATATTGATCATTGTTATAAAAAAACTATGGAATATGTGAAAAAAAACTAAGCGATATATTCAGAATAGCAATTGGCATCTCCAGCATATCCAAGACCAACTGTATGATCAGAGGCTGGAAGAGGTCATCTTGTAACCAGATCTAATATAGAAATTAGAGTTAGCCAGTATTGCACAAAAAAATATATAAATAATATTGTAAGTTTTCTTAGCTAAAATTCTCACATTCTACTAAGAGTACTTAATAATATAATTCGATGATATCATCTATATCTGCTTTATATGAATTATCTTTTTTATTACCCTGTAACTTCGATGATGCTCGATAGCGTGTGATTTCTAGGCCAACCACTTTGTACCATATGTTCCGCAAATCAGCTAATATTTCATATCCTTTTTCTTGAATATATGTAACATATATTTTTCTAAGGTCATGGCTTTAGATTTGTGCTTACTGGTCTTAATAACTAATTTATATATTTCTTCTCTGCTCCTTATATTGTCTTGAAAAATTTCTGCAAGTAATGTTGTTAGCTTTATGCAAATTAATTCCTCCTACTTATCTAATACGCTAAGAAAGAAAGACTAATAAGTATCATTTCCTGAGCATTTTACTATTTTATTAGTATAAGTAGTTTCATATAAATTTTTCATATAAGTATATGCTTCTTTCCATAGATAGGCTATGATAGTCTCATCTTTTTTTGAACCTTTATGAAGGTTTTTGATATATCCTCTAACCCACTTTTTAGCTGATTTCTCACTAATGCATCTCTTATTTTTGATATCTTATCTTCATCCACTTCATTTTTATCCTCTTCATCCACTTCATCCTTATTCACTTCGTCTTCATCCACTTCATTATCATCTTTTAACTTTTTTAAGGTTTCTAGCAAATTTTCAGATGATGGCTAGTGTCTATCAGCATAATTTATAAAACGTACACAGAGCCCGATAACGGTTTTCAGATAATAGTTAATATTGATCTTTTCACCAAGATGTCTTACCACTTCTGGGTACTTTATTTTGTCACCTACCTTTTGTAATGAATCATTCTCAACTACAACATATTCAAAGTGTTTACCTGGTTCTGGAATTTGATAAAGATAAGGCTTGGATATTAGGCCCTTTTTTATGAGCCGTTTGGTGTTTGCTTCTTCATGGGTATGTCTATCTCGTATTTGTGAAATGAAGCGTTGTACACTCTTGTTATTTTTATTGGGCTTCTACACAGCAGTTTTAATTATTTTATTAAGATCTATTTGTGAAATACTATTTACTATTTCTATGAGTACACCCTCTACAAGCTAATGCAAGGTACATGTATTATTTATTCTGGTAGATTCTTCCATAATATGTTTTTCTATTTTACGGAAAAGACTAGACTGCCCCCATTTTACAGTCTCAACTTCTCGAATGAAAAGCTTGTTATTAAAGTTTGGCTTACTTATATGTAGAATACTGAAGTATTTTTTCTTCAAGTAAATACTACTGGAAATAAAACTTCCTCATATGCTATTTTAAGATAAGGTGATCCGTTATCTTTCCTGAGAAAGCTATTAACTTCATCGTGAAGTTTTTCTATTTTTTCTATAGATATTTTTACCATTCGAAACCAATATTCTTCTTTTGAGATCTTGCTATTACTGTAAGTCTCATCACATTCCTGGAAGTATTCTTCTAGACAGATGAGATATAAGGAATCAGTGTTACCATATTTTATTCCGAACCTCTTGTTTTTAACGAAATTTGCAACAAGTTTAATATTTCTCTGTCCTGCTGATGTAACACCTCTAGCAAGTTCATGCAAGAAGAAAGGGGATTTACTATCTCCAGCAGTCTCATAGAATGTATTCATATATACCTTAAAAGCATATTGTTTTGCATCTAAGCAAGAGTAGTCGAAACAAACAGAATCATATTCTGCCATAAATTTATGCACTGCGTGTTTTTCCTTATTAATAAAGTGATATAAATTTTTAGTAATACCAGCACATTTTTTTTTCTCTGTATTTGCCAAGACTTGCTCAATAAGTCTCTAATAATGATAAACATTACCCATTGAACTTTTTACCAGATCCATATCTTCTTTTTTTTCTTTTAAAGGAGTGAGGTGCTTTTTCATCTCATTCTGTTTGCCAGATAAATATTCCAATACATTGGCATAAAGCCCCTTTTCTTTAAAAATATTATTATATTGAACTAACTAGGCTCGTAAAGGCTGATTATTAAATAGAAACTCAATTTTATGAAGTTTCTTTCCACTATGTTCTACTGATAGAGCCTACTCTTCTAATAAAATGATTTTATCAGGTAAGAGGTTATATGTTATAATAAGATTTGGATATAATGAAGCAAAATCCAAACTAGTTACAGAATGTCTATTTTTAAGTCCCTTTATTGGTGCGAAGACGTAGACACCAGGGTATTTTTCAGTTTCCGTTTGCTAATATTGAATTATACTAGTTAAGATCCCATCCTGCCATGCACTAGCACCTAAAAGATTGTATACCTTCATCCTCCCTGCAAAGTAGTATGTATCGAATAATGATAAAAAGGCTATACTTGCAACCTCTCTATATTCATTAATTGCATTGCACTTGACCATTATTCGCTAGCAACTAAGAGCATCAATTATACAATATTCAGCTATTTCACACATTTGTTTAGCTGTTGTAGCATCTTTATTGTTTAGTGTATTTTCATAATATTTGAACATGTAATTAAAAGGCATATCTATTTTACTTTTGAGCCTACATTTGCTTAGGTAGAATGCTAAACTGCTCTTTTCGGCCTTAGAATATAATTTCATAAAGCAAGAACGAACATCAATAGCTATGCATCTGGAAATTTTAAGATACTTCGAATGGAAATTTATATTATTAACTTTTATTATATTATATGGATATTGCCATTTTGTAATTTTTTTCAGGCTCGATAGCTTGAATGATATATGATTGAACATCCATTCAAAAACCTCTAATTTATTAGTCTTTTCCACAATAAATTCCTAGTCATATTGAGAATCATTGAAGCCTATTTGTATTTCCGGAGCTAAAAGTTTCTAATATAAAGCGAATGCTTTTAATAAATTAACTTGGGATCTACATATAATCGTGGATTTGGCGTAGTTTTAACATCAACAAGGCAGATTCACTTTAACAGTTTAGGATCATCTTTCCAATGAACGGTCATACAAATCATTTTGCATTAGGCATCTCACCTGTTTTTCATAAGCTATATGTTTCAATATCCCATATAAGTATGAGAGTTCGATCTCTCGTAAGTGCTGAAGAAATCAACAGATTGTTATACTTATTATCGCTTATTTGGTTATAATTGTTCACAGATACTCAGAAGAGATAAGTATTTTCAGACAGTTTGTATGAATAATTGCTTAATAGTGCCCAGCTTGAAAGAGGTAAGGGTAGTGACATTTATCACCTGATTTTTTTTTATCAGAGGCTTACCCCTCCCTAGCTCTTAATATATAATTGATCAGGTGTTATTTATAAAATTTTAATTTTTTTGACCCCTCCCTCTAAAAAATCACCTAATAAATGTCTATACTCTAATTTTTCTTAATAGGCTACTTTGCGATAATAATACTGGCAATTTAGATCGTCCAAAACTGTATACATACCAACAGCATGGACCGCTTTTAATGCATTGACCTGGTCATAGTGGTTCCATGTTCTTACATGGATATATAGTTTCTTTTCTGTATAGTACCTTTGAAGTGGGAAAGCACTAACAGTCTCAATCCCAAACTTCGATGTGCTATTAAGAATATTAGATAATATCTTAACTAATTTGGTCTTAAATATGAATAATGGCATCTCTTCAGGTACTTTGATATCAAAGAAGGGTTTAATGTCTGTAATATTTATGACTGCCTTTTGACCATTAATTAAAGTACTCGTAATTCGCAAAATATAAGTAGAGATCCCATTTACATATTCAGTATCATCACTAACTTCAGTGGGCATAAAATGTATGGGCTGTTTGCTAGATAGGCTTTGTTGGATTAAAGGAGTAGTTCTATTATCAAATTCTGCTACTATATCATTACATGATGGAACCCCAGCTATAGTTTTGGTGCCGTTGTAGTAGGTAAAAGGGCTAGTTCCAGTGCGAACAGTTTGGTCAAAAATAGCTATGGTATGTATGATGTTAGTTCGAAAATTTATACTATCTCTGTAAAATCTAGAAATGTTTAAAATATTTTTTTTGATGGATATAAAAAAGGCACAATAGCAAACTTGATTATCAAATCGTAGAATGAAGATATCTAAATATGCATCTAAAAGTGTAGGCTTCTGCGTAATTTATTATATAAATAATAGGTAGTAGTTAGATTGTATAGTGTATGAAGCCTTCTGCTAATATTTCTAAAAAAATATAAATATATATATATTTATTGGCAGATGGCTTCATCTTAAAAGTATGTATCTGGTCAGAACTTTGGACAAAAGAACTTGGTATCTAAGCCGGCATATAAGTAGTCTGAAACTAGAGAACTAATAGAACTTTTTTGGTTCTTTACCAGTTTTCTGCTAATACCATAATAGTTCTAGATACTATTGGTCTACTACTATGGTGCCAAGTTGGAATCCTCAAATCATGTGTTCTAAAGATCAGCCAGAATTATAGTATAATCTTAGCCGAAGGGATCCAGATGAGTATCTGAAAGTGGAGCCTTCTGCGTAATTATATTATATAAAAATGGCAGAAGGCCCCACTTTTTCTAGATATATACTTGGGTATGGTATAGCCTTCTTCAGAATCTATATATAAAATAATGAAAGAAGGCTATACTTTCCTAGATATGTACTCAGGTATGGGGCTTCTTCAGAATCATTATATAAAATATTGGAAGAAACCCCATCTTTTCTAGATATATACTTAGGTATGGTATGAAGCCTTCTGCAGAATTATTATATAAAATATTGTGGCAGAAGGCTTCGCCTAGATATGTATTCGGGTATATGTGAATACTTAGAGTAGGTAAGTACCCAAGACTTATGGCATAGTAAATTATAATAATTTTAACCAACACTATTCTATAATTTTGGTCGCAAAATAACTTGATATCCAAGCTGGCATAG